CCCAATAGACTTGCAGGGACATGAATGCAGACTTCTTTGGATGGGCAAGAACATTCTACAGGACATAAATCAAGCACTGTAATGCTCCACCTCATAGTCACAAAACTATGACTAATTTTATGACTAAAGTCAGTAGGCTGAGCCCTCCATTCCTGTGATGTCAGCTGCAGAGGACAACTGCCTCTGTAGAAGCCAGTTTTCTGGTCTCTCCTGTAGCCCAAGCCAAAATGGCCACAGAAAACCATGTCCAGGATAGAAGGCCAGGAGATCTGCTTGTAGTAGCCCAAAGTGGCCAATAGGAACTGGGCAGATCCCACCCCTGACCACTTCATCAACCGCATTACAGATGAACATCCACAGCAAAAATTGTATCAGGAGAAAACAGAAGACACTCTTTTAAACCCAGAAGAGCTAAAAGCAACTTTAAGCTGCCTCACATGTAGACTGGGGGTGAGATGAACGCAATGTCGTAAGAACATGTATTTTAAAAATTATTCATGGGGCATCTCTGTGCCATTGTTAGCAGGACATGAGGATAAGCCCTAACTCAACTGTTTGTGGATTAAAACTCCCCACCCCACCTATAGAGAAGAATACATTAGTGGAGCATAAATGTTATAAAATGGCTGAATAGTAGTTAGACAAGGCGTTCAATAAAAGAATGAACTGCCCCTCTTACAGAAATAATTGCAGTGCTAATCCTTCTGTAGTAGTTTACCACAGCAAGAGGGACAATTGTTTTCTGCATAGCGACAATCATGAGTCTGAATGTAATTATCAAGATCCTTAACCAGTAATTTGAAATGGAAACTTTGTTGATGCATGGCAACCTTCTGGTTAACTGTAATGTCTTGAGAGAATGAGGTCCTAACAGAAGACAAACGTTCATTGAATTGCACATCAGCAATGTCCTTTCACCATTGAAAGTTGGTTTCTATTTAAGACACAACTATGATGTGAGCATAGATCAGAACAGTTATCTTAATTTCAAGCTCTCCAGAGATCTGTGCCAGGGGCACATTCTCTCTCAAAGGTTTCTGTCAGGCTTTTCCTGGCAATCTGGATGGAAACAGATAAAGAGGCACTCAAGAATTCAACAACTTTTGGGACTTCTGGGGAAGAATTGGGAAACTGGAGATGGCTGTGCTAAAAGTGGAGCTGATGACCACGGCAGAATGAAGAGCCAGCAAGTAGGCCGGCTCTTCGTAATTCTTCTCTGGACCAGGAAAGGACTTGAGATTACCCACAAGTGCTTCATACAATTGCTCCTTGTGAGGAGACTGCAAGACAGTGGTCTCCAGTGGATTTATACCTCTGGGAGACAAGGGAAAGCCATTTTTGCTCAAACCATGATAGATGCCTTTTCAAAGGACACTGGGTTTGCATACTTCCTTTTCTAATCACTTTCAGAAATTGCTTGTTAACTGGTTTTCCTAATTTGCTGTTAGGAACCTTTGGATCTACAAGTTTTACAGCACTGGGTAAGCCTCCTTCAATCCTTAGCGAAAGAAGTTTAAATACAAGTTTAAGGATTAAAAAATATATATTTTGGAATAAACAGCAAAAAGGTGATTAGAACTTTGATTTTGGAAAGGTACAAATGGACTAAAGGTCCAGATAAATTTGAAATAAGATTTTGGAATTCATTATAAGAATCCTTCTTGTGGGAAAATGATTTTGTTTTGAATTCTTAAAAAAAAAATGATACGATGGAACTTCGAAAGTTGAACACTAGAGGGAACCAGAAGGATCTAAAGATTACAATTAAAGGCGAAGAACACTTAAATTTGATTTACTAATACAGAATGGAGCAAAATACCTTAATGTTGGATGTATTGAAAGATATTTTTGAACAATGGACCCAGAAGTTAATTTTAAGAGTATCTGCCTATATAGATAGACTGTGTTTAAAACATGTTATGGAAGAGGAACAAGTTTCACTGGACAAGACTGAGACTGATCTGAAAGTGGATTTAAAAATGACAGGCTATAAGAATGATATGGAAAGAGATGCTACATTGGATATACAAATGAAACTGGCTGTCAGAATCTGCAGCAATCAAAATATATATCAACTAGAGGACTGTTTTATTAGCATAGTAATTGCCGCTTGTATATAGGGAATGTTTTGTTTAGCTTGCCTTGATTCTGCCATTCTCATTGGTGATGGGGGGGCAGTGAAAGAAGACAGAGCCAGAGGAAGACTGAAGGCCAGGAAGAAGGCGTGTTATCGGGGCTGCAATGCACAAGGTCACACACCTCTATGAGAACTAAAAGTGGCGCCTAAATTGAAGGGGGGCAGGGGGGGGTAAAAGTAGAGGGAAAATTACGCGGGCTTTAGTTTTAGCAATGTTTTGCTTAGAGCTGCATGTATCCTCCAATAAATGAAATCTTTTTTGAATCTACTTTGGAGTTCAAGAGATTTGTCTGTATTGGAGTTTGAACATTGTAGACCTGACATTTTGCTAAAACTCCGCTGAACTGGACAGAGGAATGCCAAGAGGCTGAGTGCCTCAAAACCCTGTTCACAGCTGAACCCATCCTGAAGCACCCAGACCCCACAAACCCTTTGTAATTCAGGCAGATGCATCAGATGTAGCCATTGGAGCTGTGTTGTTACAGAAGAGCGAGAGGGAGCATAGTGAAACAGAAAGAATATGGGTAATGTGGGAAAAGGAGGCGTTCGGAGTGAAATGGACTTCTGGGAGATGCCTGAGGAACCCCCGCCGGAGTTGCCGGACCAGCCCAGGTGGTCGAGAATCATGGGAGGGGTGAGGGGTTGCACAGCACCCCGAGAGGAGAGTCAAAGGGAGAAAGTAGTGTCAGCAATCATTCCAACCAACCAGGAAGCATTGGCTGCTGTAACCAGATCACAAAGCAAGAAACCCGAACTTCCGGCCCAGGGGTTGTTAAAAGAAATTAACTCTTTCCTAACCAAGGATGAATGGTTCTTACAGAATAAACCCATTAGAAGAGCATTACAGCTGCATAAACACCCCTGGGGCCCCCGACAATCCGAACGGTAAAATGTGGTACTGGAAGTGTCCCAGTGGGCAATGGAAAGCCGTCTTCCATTCATCTCCCTCTTTAATCCACACCCAGAAGTAAGCGCTCCTTAAGTCTAGTTTGGTAAAAATTTCCCCCTTCACTAGGTGAGCCAGCAAGTCCTTCATTAAAGGAAGTGGATACTTGTTTTCTTTGCATATGGCGTTCAGCCCCTGATAATCGGCGCCGCTAGGGGGGATTCGGCGGGCTCTATGAATCCTCTGCTCAAGTTTTTATCAATGAACTCTCAGAGCATCGCCATTTCCTTTTGAGTCATTGATTATATTTTTGGGGTTGGATATTTCGCTCTCGGCTCTAGTTCAATTGCACAGTCAGTTGGGCAGAGGATTCTTGAGCAGAGGATTCATAGAGCCCGCCACATCTCCCCTAGCGGCGCCATTATTGTTCAGGGAAAAGAAAGACGGGTTGCTGCGCTTGTGCACTGATTATCAGGGGCTGAACGCCATATGCAAAGAAAACAAGTACCCGTTTCCTTTAATGAAGGACTTGCTGGCTCACCTAGCGAAGGGGAAAATTTTTTACCAAACTAGACTTATGGGATGCTTAGTTCTGGGTGCGGATTAAAGAGGGAGATGAATGGAAGATGGCGTTCCGTTGCCCGCTGGGGCACTTCCAGTACTGCATTTTACCTTAACCTTAATGGACTTTTGTTGATCAGTACTGAACAACGTATTTCTTTGTAGGTAAGAGATAAGGGAAGAAGAGATTTGTTGTACTTTAAGGGAAGGTGATAAGTTACTAAAATTGTTTATACTTGTGATAAAGGGGGAAGTAATTTTATATACTTTTTTCTTTACTATGTTATTTCTTTTCTATTTTTTTTATTTTCTGCACTTTTTCTTTTTTAATTTATATTAGTTTTTTTAAATTGTAATTTTTAAGAAAATTGCTATTAAAAAGGATTCAAGAACCTTTGATAAGTAGATTGCAGTACTGTAAAGCTAAAGAAGCCATTATAATTCCAATTGTAGCAAGATGGTAAATGGAGCGTTGTGATGCAAGCCTTGCCCTTTTGCAATGCTGTCTACAAGTTTGCTGATTTTGACACACATTCTGGACGCCACTGGACTGCAGATGCAAGACCTATCTATACTGAAATCAAGTTTCAAGTGCTTGTACTTCTTTCTCTTGTCTGCACAATGACATGGGCTAGAAGTCAATTTCTTTGGAGCAGGAGAGACAGTTTTGATAATGAACTGATCTGATATCAGGTGGTTTGCTTGGGTCCATATGTGAACTGGCTTTCAGTTTCCCTTGAAGATTCATTGTATATTTATATGTGGAGCTCTGGCTCCATCTTCTGTAAAGCACCAAAGACATTTAGATAAGATGCTGGCTGTTATTGGTATAGGGTTCCACATAGCTGCTTGTATGTATGCTCACAGCCTGATAGCCAGGTTGAAAACCATTTCACTGAAGGACTTTGCACACACCCAGCATCTCTGAGGAAAAAAGAAGGAAGCAAGAGGCAGTGCCAATATAGCTGAGAATTCTACTTTAGATGTTTGATGACAGTAACAATCCTCTTCGGGCTTTGATTCTTCCCTGTAAATTCCTTGCTAGTCTGTAACAGTGATCTCTCTGTATCTCAGTGCTGCTCACCAATGCCATCCCTATATCTTTCCCCCTCCCCGCCAATGGGAAAACTGGAATGTTGACTGGGGACAAGGGACATAGACATAGTTAATGAATTTTTAAAAATTATACTAGAAAAACCATAAAAGAAAAATCAGGACAGGACGTGTACTCATCTCTCTTCTTCCTCATTTCTGATTCGGTCTTTCTTCTATTTCCGTAATTCCTTTTGCCAAATAAATAAAGGTTTTACAAAAGCCTCAGGTCAATGATGCTAAGTTAACCTTATAAACGGTATGTGCACAGCGTTTGCCAGTTCTGATGCTTAATTTACACATTCAAACAAACCATTTAGCCAAATCAAATTTATTTTAGAAAGTTTAACATTTAAAATATAAACTAGAACTATAAAAGAGGTACACCAAAGAACTTACAGACATCTCCAATTTAAACTCTGACCACTATGATAAGACCACTGTAATAGGTTATCAGACAAGGGGCTCAACTTCTCTCCACTGCTCCTTGGAAAGAAAGAGGCCTTCAAGTGTCATCACTGCCCAAGTAATTGTTCTGGAAAGCAAGGTGGGGCAGCCATGGAAGGGCAACCAAACCCAAGGCAAGTCTAGGATCCAGAGTGTTTCTTGATGACTCTTACTCCAGGTTAATTCCAACTGAGGCCAGGGCCTCCACAGCCCACTGGGGATAGTTGCTGGAGTTCCCATACATAGTCTTCATAAAATTCTGAACAAACTGTGGAAATCTTTGCTCAGTTATGCTCTCGCGGATCAAATGCATCAGGTTCATCTGGAGGAAAAAAGGAGAGAATAGGCACTATCAACTATATAAAATGAAATATATAGCAAGGGGGAAGAACAAACAATTATAGGCTAAACTAGCTGACCAATGGGTTAGTTAGAGACTGTAGAGCAGGGATAAAGGCCTCCAAGACTCATCTGCTATATATAGGCAGCCCACATGGCCTTTGACTCTCATCTGAGGTGCTCTGCCCTTCAAATCCTCAATAGCTTCTAAAGAAATCTTCTTCCCTGTTATTACTGGGTACTCCTTGTGTTCATGCTAGTTTGTCCAGTGCTAGCCTTCCTCAATTGTATGTGTTGGGCAAACTACTTTGGGAGCTTCTGGCACTTCCCTGATGGAGAAGGATACAAACAGAAGGCATATTCTACAACAGAGTTTCTCAACCGTGGCAATTTTAAGTGTGTAAACTTCAACTCCCAGAATTCACCAGCCAGCAAGGTTGAGAAATGCTGTTCTAGAAGAAATGCTCAAGCAGCCACCCCAACAGCACACTTTCTCTAACAGAAGATACCCTGGCATGGCTAGTGCCTGCTCATCTGACATATACCTTCCCTAATGGGGAAGGTGCACACTGAAGAACTGCTCTGTGTCAGATGAAATTTATTTTATTTATATTTATTTATATTTCAAATTTAGACACTGCCCATCTCACAAGGAAGTGACTCTGGGTGGTTTACAATAAAATTCAGAGTGATTGCTTCCTATTTCATCCTGCATTATGCATTTCTTGTTGCAAAAGGGGACAAGTGGAGTGATGGTTCCCATCTCCTCTTCCAGAAAGGTAAGGATGACAGAGGTCCCCTCCTTGCTTCTTAATATCACCCAGCAATTCAGGGCAAGGGCCAGATCCAGCCCCTAGAGCAGATCCAGTTCTACATAACTGCTGGGGGATATCCCACAATCTATCCTAATTATATATACAAAACAGCTGATTTATATGGCAGAGTCATATAATATGTGAGATTATAAGGTAGGCACCTAGTCTCAAGAATTTATACTCTACCAGCAGGCACATACTGGCTGATAGACATGATTTCTTGGGGTCAGAGTTTATATGTTGTGTGAATCTAGCTACTGTGGTCTGTACACTGTGGCTTATGGCTTGGTGAGTTGTATAGCTCTAGCCATCTATGGTTCATTTAATAACACAGTTAAGCAAACCCCAGTTTACTATCATGTGTAAATCTAGTTACAATGTGTATAGAATATATTATATAAACTGATCAAATTTTGCAGAATGTATTATATATTCCCTTTCATTGTAAGCAACAATTTGCAAAGTGCAGAAAATAATTAATAAGCAAAAGAAAGGATTAGATAAGGAAGAAAGTAGGAAAACATAGCTAAATTAAATTTCCCAGAATTTAGTTAAGAAAATTAGGATTATGATTGTATAGGCAGAAATCATGGAAGGTAAGAGACTGGAGGGGAAAAAGTGAGCAAGAGAAGAAAGCTTTGTGCCCACTTCGATAAAGTTATGGTAAAAGAGAGAAAAGCCAACTGCACCTACTTTCTTATCTCTATTTCACAGCCAGCATCCCACATGCCCCTGTTCTGAAGTGCACTAGCTTTACTGACACCCATTCAGCAGAAGTCTTGAGGCTTCTGAACAGACTGACCTGGTAGGCAATATTATGGACGGTAATGTGATGCTTGGCAGCTGAATCAAGAGGGTAGAGAGCATTCAAGAAAGCTCGACTGTATCTGTAACAGACAAATAAACAAGGGAATCCTCTTGTGACCTGAGGTTTAAGGAAGGTTTTTTATACATCAAGGGCGAAGAACAAGGGGAAAATGGTTTTTGTTCCTTTACAGCACAAGATAAAATACAGAAAATTAAACCTAGTATCAGCTGAGTGAAAATATACAAGACAATTCAGGCAACAGCAGGAACTTACTTTTCCATGCTTGCTGATTTAACTTTATAAAACAAAACTACCTTTTACAAGATGGACTGTCCAGGTGCACTTTTGTGGTCAGCAACTCAATAAAAGAGGAAGAATGCAAAGATTGTGGTATAGCATGGAGAAATCAAAGAAAACTTGGGATGAGGTAGCTGGAATTGAAGCTACCTGAAGACGATTCTAAATTAAATGTTTTATTGCATTTTTATCCCACTCATTATGATGTCACCACATTTTATCCTCACAAACATTGGATGAGATTAATTAGTTTCAGAAAGAGCATGTAGCTAATAAAGATTATGTACTGAGTTTGTGACTAAATGAGGATCTGAATTTAATTTTTCCTGGGTCCTAGTTCTAAATAAGAGCTCTTTTTTCCATTTCTATTTTTAAAAAATCCACTCCAACCCAGGCACACAAACCTCTGGCAGGTGGGGCAGGCACAGTTCTCATCAATGGGCCGGAAATCCTTGGCATATTGCTTGTTCTTCAGCTGTAGGGAGCCCCAAGGGACCAAAGCTGAACCAAAGCGCTAGAAATGGAAAGAGGTCTATATATTTCAGGAGATGGTACAAAACACAACCCTACTACTTCCCTGGGGAGTGGGTATTTCAAATCCCTACATAATCCCCCCCCCCTTTATTTTACAGTCTTTCCATGCCAGTCTATGTTTCCTTGCATAAACTGGTGAAATGTACCCCCCTCGTCCAACTCACTACTCCATTTCCTCAGTTGACACATGTACTTACTGCTGTCCTTGTGGGATAGACACAGTCAAACATGTCACAGCCCAGGGCTACACACACCACCAGATCAGTAGCATAACTTTGAGCAGAATAGAGGTGAGAAACATGCATCAGATGAGCAGCTGCAAAAGGTGGCTATCCCTTATCCCATGTAATAACATGGTTTGTTTACTCCTACCCGACTCCCATAAGGTAGCGAGGCTTGTTCCTTGGGAGATGTTTTGTGCTGAGGGCCACCATCCTCCAGAAGTGATCTTTGGCCTCGCCACCACTCAGGCCTCCAATAGCAAAACCCGGCACATCTCGTTTAGTCATCTCTAACAGGGGAGAGATGGGGAGGTGGGGTGGGAAGAAAGAGAGAGAGAGGAAGGAAGCCAGTGCATCCAAAGTTTATTATCTATACATTATTATACATTTTACAAACTATTTTGGCAAACGAATGGCCAGGAAATGTTTGAAAAGCTTCAGAGTTAGCCTGTACAATCAGAATCACAGATGAGGCTCTTAAATCATCCCAATTCCCTTTTATTCTGTTCTAAAGTATCTGTGATATAGTTCATGCGGTCACAAAGAGTCAGACACGACTTAACGACTGAACAACAACAAAAGTATCTGCCAGTTTAAAACAGCTGGAATTGCCAGTTTCAAAAGAAAAGTGACCTTACCTTCCAGACATCTGGTTCGAAGGACAGGATCCAGCCCACCCTGAATAATGGCAAATAAATTCTGCTGATTAGGTTTGCTGTGTGCTGCAATACACCTGTCCAACCAGCGAACAGACCTGCAACACACATCCTTTTATTAAAAGACTTGCATTTGTTATGTCATTCCATTGATAACTCCAGTCTAATTCGCATCTGAGTGCTTTATAGCAGTTTATTTAAATAGAGTTCATTTAATACTTTGATCTGAATGCTGTAGCTATACCTGAAATTCCATACTGAATAACATTTTGGAAGTACTGAGATTCCTATACCAGTAATTTATATTTATAAAGAAGTTGAAAGGAAGTAGATAAAATTGGCATGATTTATTTACCCAATAACTGGAATATTGTGCTTCAATATAATTTTTGTAGACTAGTGCCAGGTTGTTTTAAAACTAGGAAGCTAGTGTCTTTTCATCTTGAAATCAAAACATAGTTTAACTGTAAATATTTAGCATCTCAGAAAATATTCTGTAATGGAAGGTTAGGACTGCTTTGCTATTGGAGATGTAATTCAAAAGATGGAATCCTAACTTGCCCTGGGCTTATCCTATTGCTGCCACAATTGAAATTCTGAAATTCATAAAGTTATCTGTGTGGATTAGAGTGATTTCTCCTTCATAAAAAGCTGTATGTTCCCTTGAAGTAAAGTCAAATCTTCCTCATATCAAGACTGACTCTTGGTGGAAGAAAACATGTTCATGTTGTGTTTCTGGCAACAATATGGAAATGGTTCTAGGATTTTTCTAGCTGTCTCCTTGCCTGTCTGTATGAGAAAGTCAGCTAGTTGCTTCCACATTTGGAATTAAAGTATCAAGAATTATGGACACTTTGCAGATGGGGGGTAAATTGGTAAAATCTGTTAGTTGTCAACATATGAATTAGTCCTTTTGCAACCATACAGGAAAGGAAGACTTGAACATTCTGGTCAAATGTGCTTGAATTGTTCTGTCTATTTTATTAATTTCCAGACAATAGTGGCAATAGTGCAGTATTGGCATATTTGTCTCCCTTCTTCCTTGTTTTCATGTTAGGATTTGGGAGATCTTGTTCAGCAAGGGTTCAGCAAGTTCCTCTGAAATTGCCTGAAATCTCATGTAAATTGTTCACTTTCCCAAGATTTTAGCAATCTCAAAAGATTTAATACTAAGCAAGGTCTTTGGACAATCTCATGCAGAAATATCTAACATGAAATGGAAATAGCTCTCCAGAGTTGATACAGAAGTCCTGTTATCTGAGAGATGCTAGGACTGGAGCCGCTGCATTAAGTGCATGTTCTCCATGAATATCTTATGGTGCAAGTAGTCCTCAGGTTATTACCACTCATTCAGCGACTGTTCAAAGTTACAGTGGTGATGAATGAGGAGCATTTATGACCAGTTCTAGAAGCTGCAGCCAATGCAGCATCCCTGCGTCACGTGATTGCAATTCGGGTGTTGGCAACTGGCTCGCAATCACAATGGTTGCAGCATCCCATGGTCAATGATCACCATCTGTCACCTTCCCTGCCGGCTTCCCACAAGCAAAGTCCTAACCCTGAGGAGCCTGTGGGTGGCATTGGGGATCTCATACTCAGCAGCGCCTACCTGCACTCCATAGCACCCACCTGTACTCTGTAGCGCTGGCCTGTGGCACCTGCCCACCCACCCACGGCACCCGCCCACATGCCATAGCACACACCCATACTCCATAGCCCCCACCTGCACTCCATAGCGCCTGCCCATGGCACCCGCCTGTACTCTATAGTGCCCACTTGCCCACTCGTAGCTCTCCCCCACCAGCCGGCTTGCCTGGGTGCAGTTTCAGTGCCTCTTTCCACGTTGTGGTCATATGAGGTCCCCACTTAATGACCCACATGGTCCGTGCTTAATGACAGCAACTGGGACTGCTGTCGCTAAGCAATGTGATCGCATGGTATCATGCTTTATGACCACATCACTTAGCAACGGAAATTCCGGTCCCAATTGCTGTCATAACCCAGACTACCTGCACATCAATCTTTCTGGCCCTGTGAGCTGAATCAATAGAGCATACATAATTTATTTTCCTCACAGGGATCACCAGCAGAGCCTCTTGTTTTCCACTGACTTTCGTAACAAATTTTATGACATTGAGGAGGGGCATTAGAATGAGGAATGGAAGTCTTTATCTCCCTTCTCGTGACCCCACTTAAGATTTTTTGGGTACACTGTTAATGGATATGGAACCAAGCTATCTTGCTGGGAAAAGAGGAAACAAAGACTTTCTCCTAATTTTTAATGGCAATTTTGCACTGACCATTTATTTCTTGCTCATCAGTTGGAGGAGGAAAACCTCTTGGCAGTAAGTAGGTCATATGAAATGCAGTCAAAGGCCGTGCATAACTCATGGGCTGCCCATCTATGCTAAAATAGATTAAGGATCTAAACATGTAGACATGACCTTTTGTAATGGTTCTATAGCACAATGACATATAGGTCAACTCAGGCTTTCTGAACCATGCAGAACCCCTAGCAAGAGGTTGCTAGGGATTCTATATGGTTGAAAAAAAGCACACACAATTTTTTGAACTTTGAGCACTGCACAATTCTAACACACATAGCATTGGGAATTTTTATGTGTTGCAACTTAGCAGCCAACCTGCTGCTTTGCTGTTGTGGTAAATGTTGTAAAACATGGATTGTGTAGGTTAGAAGTGAATTGTATTGTGAAGTCTTATATTTTTTGCAATTTTTATGCAGGGGTTCCCTGAGACATGAAAATTATTTCAAGGTTCCTCCAGGGTAAAAAGGTTGAGAAAGACTGGTTAATTTATAGGTAAATTTGTGAGTTTTTCATATTCTCCTTTCTGGGTGGCTGGAATGTTTTCTTTCTTGTTACTCTGAACTGCGCCATCAATACCATGTGTGGGAACTGAATTAGATTTGACAGCTAAATTTCCAACCTATCTCCACACACCCCGTATCAGAATGCTCAGGCAAAAAGCCCTATTCTATCCCAGACCATCCTCATGGCAGAAAAAGGAAGGGAACAATGTTTGCTGCCTTTTACACAGAAGAAAAAAATGCTTTTTACTGCACAGAACGAGGCAGAGAGCTAGGACTTCACCTTGTTCTGCACGGAGACAGATATAGGAGAGGGTAGAGAGCTGTTGCTCTCCCCAACCCCCTCATCCTGCAGAGAAGGGTGCCCTCCCCAGCAACACTCACTCCAGACCCTTCTGCCTCAGAAAGGTGCAGGAGAGCTGAGGCAGGCTGAGTGACTGTTGGCATTCACTGGCATGCATGCAGGGGGAAAAGCCTCATTTGGAGGGGCCTGAGGACTGGATGGGACAGCCTCCATGATGGCATGGAGATTGCCATTCCAAGTCTCTAGTACAGTCTGTCACATATACCAACATCCAGAAGGAAAGAGCAATGAGCACAGAAAGCTAAGAAACAGCTTTTCAATACAAAAGAAAAGTGCAAAGAGAAAAACACAGAATAAGACCCAAAAAGGTCAAGCATCTATTAACGTATTATGCACGTGAATAGGTAGCTGGCTGTTATTTCAGCACTTTCAGCTGAACATTTGGTTATGGGTTTTTCAAGGTGAGGCTAATTTCATAGCTCCAGAGAAAACCAGAGTTTTGAGAATCCAAGGCTGCTACTTTTGTCTCTTTTTTCAGATCTTTTATCCTTTCCAACACAACAGAATGTTGGAAAGAAATTACATAAAGTGGCTCAGAACTGTTTTGTCTGTCACCAAGATAGCTCTCCAAAACCAGAACAAACCTGGATCAAATTGGGTATCAGTAAAAGAAAGATTACATTTGAAAATGGGCCAAATCCAGTTGGGAGCTATGGAGAACAATGTTCCAGAAAAAATCCCCAAATGGGAGAGGCCACTGGCAAGAGCTGCTGACTGCTCCATTTGAAGCTCCTCTGGTCATATGACTGAGTGTATGCACCCTGCCCTGTACTTTCCCATGCACACATACATAGAAGCATGTACAGGAAGAGCCCAAAGGGAGGGCAAAAGCACACATACAGATATAACACATGATTTTATTTCACAGAAGAAAAACAGATGCTTCCTATGGCTACTCCCAATCAAGAGGCTTGAAAGAATTCCAAGAGCCATGCGTTGCATGCTTTCCCTAACTTGTTTGATTCCACAGTAACCCAAACATTGTCTCCCAATATTTTGTAATTGATGAGATTTTTCTCAAGTCACTTCAGAAAGAAGTACATGCTTAAAAACAAAATGGAGGGGACATATATGATTAAATGATGTAAAGAGAATTTTATTGGCTAGTACTAAGCACATTGAGTTTGAAAGCTTCCTGGTAATAAACAAAGTTTCCATAACCAGAGAAGTATACACACCAAAAGACCAGGTGTACAAGCCACACAGAGGCCAAGGATTGGAAGAAGCTGAATGGAGCTGGCAACACAATCGAAGGGTTGATTGATGCGGCACAAACCTTAACATGGCATCCTCCACGCGGGGGCCACTGAGAGTGCTGCTGACCACATCATCTAATTGCATTATAATGTCAGAGCCTGGGGGAAAAAATACAAGTTAGCAGAGATGGCTGAGATCAGTCAATATGGAAATGGAGGATGGAGAGGCCTAGATAGAGTTTAACAATATTTAGTTAATATTCTATACTTTTTGACTTATGAGGCATTTACAGGGCCTACGGTGAGAAACCCATTAAACAAATATAAGCCAATAAAATAAATAAAGATTTGATTTGAAAAAGGAAGTGGATAATTTTTTCAGTCACCAATCACGTTTTAGGGAAAAAAAAAACTTGTTTTGGCTCATTTCCAGAAACAGTGGAATGAAGAGATACGTTAAATATCCAAAGGAAGCTTTACCCTTTATTTATGCATTTATTTTATTAATTTTGGTAATTTATACATTACATGGTCCAAAGGGATATGCCAGGTCATAGCAGAAAACAAACAGAACTGATAAATATCAAACCAAACAAAAATAGAAGTAATACACAATAAGCTATAAACTTTATAAAATTGTCTTACACTATAATGAAGCATCAGCAAATAACATAATAACAATAATCCAAAGTACTTAAATCAATATCTCAAAAGAGAATTAAGAATAAACAGTGATGAAATACATTTTAAAAGTATGCTGTTGACAAATTGAAAACCCAGCAATAAAATAGGCATGACCACTATGAGGGAAAAGCTGAATAAAACACGTTTAATTTTTTCTTTTTAAGCATAATAAAGAAAAGGCAGGAGTGGGTGAGAGAATTCCAATGTGTTGGTCCTGCCGCCCAAAACGGCCCTCAGCTCTAGCTGATTCCAAGGGGGCATCTCTCTAGGACAACACAAGGAGAAGGCTGTTCTATGCAGGGTGCAGCTTTCAGGAACATCATGTGGGGGAAGCAGTTCCTTCAAGCAGGAGGGGCCTGAGCCATTTAGGGGTTGACAGGTAACAAATAAAGCACCTGGAATGTGGAATGACAGGGACTGGAAGCCAAAGCAGCTTAGCTAAAACAGGTGTTCTGTGCTCCCAATGGGACACTCCAGACAGGACATTTTCAATTCATTGTCATTTCTTTACCTCTTTCAAGGACATCCCCACAGAGAGACATTGCAACAGTCTAACTGGGATGTAAGCAGTGCATGGATAATGGTAACCAGACTGTTTCTCCTCAAAAAGGAGCACAGTGGATAAATCATTCACTAACAGGCAAAACAAGAAATAGGGACTAAGTATGTAAACAGGGTCAAATAGAGCGCTCATGGGCTACTGAACTATTTTCTGCTGTGACAGACAAACAACCACAGCAGCAGGGAAATATCACCACCAATATAAAAGAGAAGGAAGCATCAGTTAGTTTAGCCATTCATATTATCATGCAAAACAGAATAGTTACCAAGAGCATTCTGTATTTGGATGGATTTTTCTGGAGTTAGCAGAATCTCCTTGCCATCATAAGGAGAACAGAAATGTACTCCCTCCTCAGTCACTTTGGAGAACTCTACCAGAGAGACCATCTGAAAACCACCACTATCCTGTAGAAAAGACACTTTGAAAGGAACTGAGAAGCAGGGAAACTGGCTGGTGTGGTGGTAAAGTCCCCTTCCACACACGTGAGCTGCAATTCACCACCAACTCTATAAAGTGCCCTGCGTATATGTGAACTCCTTAAAGTGCCCTTCTAAGAAAACATTCACAGCAAGTTGAATTGATCCTGAATGGCAACAGGGGGAGGAATCAGACAGGAACCAGTGGCCCAGTAAACCACATTGTTTCTATTCACTGACCATATCTCAGAGTTAGTATGGCTAGCAGGAAGCCTAGTAGGAAGGGATAAATAAGATCACCCAGATGGGTTTACCAAAAAACATTCAAATATAATGCTGTAATTTACAGTGTCTGCCTTTTCTCTTGTCTTGTCTTTGCAACTAGTAGGCCAAAGATAATTCTGTTTTCAGAGAT